TATTTCAAATCTCATCTTTACCTGATCCTCATAAATGCTAGATCCGTTCTAAATAAACTACCGATGCTCAGAGCACTCACAGTAATATACAAACCCCCTATAATTGTCATCACTGAATCCTGGTGTAACTCGAACATACTGGATGAAGAGATAAGCCCAGATAACTACACACACTTTCGGTGTGACAGGGAAGGTGGAAAGGGAGGGGGTTGCCTCATGTACTTTCTGAATACACTTACTGTATCACAGCTAGAAAATAGTACACTTAACACGCCTGAGACTTTATGGGTTAACTTACACTTAAATGATGCAATAGTAATAATTGGATGCACCAACAGAGCACCTGGCACCTTTAGTAATTACGAGACCCAACTTATTAATACTCTGGAGCAATTATCCACCCTCCACTACGATCATAAGATCCTATGTGGAGACTTTAACTTACCTGAAATCAACTGGGATATACCCACAGGCCCAACTAAACTTGATAAGTTCTTAGGCACACTGGATATACTTGGCTGGAAGCAGACTGTCACAACCCCTACAAGAGGTAATAACGTACTAGACTTAATCTTCTGCCACAATATAAGTCCCCTTTCTACCCTAGTAGGTTCTGAGTTTTCAGGGAGTGACCACAAAACAGTGCTGTGTGCACTGCCACTTCCGTCAAGTAGCAATGCAACCCATACCCCTACTTCACAACAAATAACTTACAGGAACTACAGTAAGGCAGACTGGACTCTAGTGAAATCAATGTTAAGGTCCTCAGAATGGAGAGAGTACTTCTATACTGATAACCTCTCGAAAGCTCTGGACATCTTTTACTATAACTCAAACACATGCTTAGACGCTGTGGTCCCAATGCAAACAATAAAAGTCTCAAAATTTAAGAAGCAATTTATTCAACTAAAAGATCGCTCAAAACTGAAGAGACTGTCAACAAGTTACTTCAGACGACACGACTTTAGTACACTAGGGTCAATACCTAGTACTCTTAGCTCCATCTCGCAGGCTCATAAATTGAGTATGAGAAATGAAGAATGCACCGCACTAGCCAGCACCACCAGAGTAGGTGCTCTCACAGAAATCCTAAAGAAACGAATGAATCGCCAAAGCCATAAAATCGCTCTCCTTATAAACAAGGGCAAACTATACAGCAAACATGCAGGCATGTGTGAACTGTTTGATGCAACGTTTGCAGCTAACTACCTTAAGCATACAAGTCCACTTCACGGTTTACAATCTACAATAGAACTCCCTTTTTCTTCAACGCCGAAACAAACCAGTACAGTTCATTTCACTTATTGTAATATTAACCATGCCATTAAAACTTTAAAACTCTAGTAGTGTTGGTATTGACGGTATACCATCGTATCTTTATAAACACGGTGGTTCTGACATTTCCGTTTTATTACTAAAGTTTTATACAATGTCCCTAGAAAGCCAAACCTATCCAGATAAATGGAAAACCATATTTATAATACCCAAACACAAATCTGGATCGAAAACTGAAGTCAGCAACTATAGGCCGATCAATATTACACCCATAGTATCTAGAATCATTGAAAGAATAGTTAAAGGCGATATTCTCAAACGTATGCTCCGCTGCAGTATTCTAAGTCCCAACCAACATGGATTCCTAAAATCCAGATCATGCATGACCTGTCACCTTGACTTCTTTAACTATATAACCAGTAGCCGAGACAAACAACAACTAGTACTAGTTATCTACTTCGACATCTCCAAAGCCTTTGACCGCGTTGACCATTTACTTCTAACAAATAAGCTGAACTCCTTAGGAATACTTAACCCATTATTAGGATGGATTGAATCATTCCTTAACAATAGGTCCCAATTAGTTAGACTGGGTTCTTTAAATTATAAACCTAGTTCAGTCGCTTCTGGAGTATTTTGAAGTAGCGTCTTAGGCCACCTCCTATTCACTCTCTATGTCAACGACATATGCAGGTGTTTCTCACTTGGCAAACCATTCATCTTTGCAGATGATCTTAAAGTAGCTTACACATTCCACTGTGATGACTTAGGATACTTTCAGAAAGCTGTTCAGGAAGAACTAGAGTTACTGCATGGTCCTCCACATGGAACCTAATATTCAACCTTAACAAATGTGGTTGGATCTGTTTCGGTGCACCCTCAATAAATATCAAACTGGTACTTGAATCTATCGACTCGCCTAAACTCCAAAGTGTTGTTGACGTAGGACTCAGGTACTCTAGTGACTTGACATTTTCTGAGCAAGTGGCAACGCAGACGCGTAAATCGAGGATGCTCTTAGGATGCATACTCAGGAATTTCCACAGCTACGAAGCGAAACTATTATTATATAAAACTTGTGTCAGACCACTACTTGAATATTGTCCATTTATTCTCAGCAGCACTCGCGTAAGTGACAAACTTAAAATAGAAAGTGTCCAACGATACTTCACGTCTAAACTACTAGGATTTGACTGCGAAAAGGACTACACATCAAGGTGTATAATCCTAGGTATCAACCCACTCTGGATGAGACGACTCAGCATTAACCTAACATTCTTCTTTAAAGTATTGCATAAAATATCATTCTCAGACAGTAAGGAGATACTGTTCTCACCGGAAGGCTCCTACAATCAGCGTAACCAAACTTGCACAGTATCTAGGAAAAACTGTAAGACAGCACTCCGTGCAAACTTCTTCACAGTCATGTACTCTAAGATCTGGAACAGTTTACCCCTAGAAATAAGGACCTGTCACTCTATTATAAGCTTTAAACGCTTGCTATATAAACTGTTTCATCCTAATGACTATGCCAATCACACCGCACCCCTTATTTCTAAAACGCATGAGCTATTAGAACACTATAACGCCTAGACTCATTACTAAATATTATGACAATAAATAAACCTTAAGACTTGGCAAAAATACATGGAAGAACAACTAGAATATAGGTAATGTTTGCTATGCACTGTAATTCAATTTATTGAAACATTTATATATGCAGAAAACGGTAACGTTCTTTTGGTGTTCACATACTTTCTCCCTCTGGCATTCTGCTGCTGAGATTACTCTTCTATTTACTTTCTTGTCGAGGTCGAACAACCCCATATTTAAACTGAACTGAATCTGTACTCCAGACCATTTAACTCATAACCACTCAAATTCCATGAACAATCCCATGCTACCACTTGAAGACGCTGGCAAACATTCTGTACAAGGAGTATTCATGATCCGAAATAAACAAGCAACTAGTTTTCAAACAGTTTTCAATTTATTACTCAACTTACGTGTACAGTCTGTCATGCTGTCACAAATGGCGCCAATGGATAGTTCTGGAGTCGACCTCGGCCCCATTCCATGCAGTAAACCAATCCAACATGACCTTATCTAGTTTTCGTATCCACCATAAAATTTCTTTCCTATTATACAATTACGATTAGACTGCTGAAAAAAATGGAATAAATATATCAATGATCTCAACATAATGCATCAATGAACATTAAGCCAAGGATGCTGTTCACAACAAGGTTATTTAGGAGAATTAACTTCAAGCTTTATTTTTCCCAGATATTTCCATTACATTCATCTGATGTCTGGGTTTTTTGTTAATGCGAAGACAATATTTCTATATCTCTATATGTGTTACACAAACAGACTATTTTGCAGACTGTTCCGACAGACTCTAATGTCAGAAAGAACAACCAAACTGTAAATTCAGCATACATCGAAATATGTGTAATTTATATAATAACTTATCCATGCCTGTAAAATTGGTATGTTCCTGCATAAACAGGAATAAATACATCATTACATAACTGATGCGTGGGTGTTCAGGAGGGACAGGGATGATAACGAAGGAGGCGTAGTCGTCATATACTTCAGCAAACTATTACAACTTACACAATGCAATGGATCCACGCACATAAGACTGCCAGACTCTGCTCTGTATCATGTCATAATCGGATAAGTCAAGTGTCTATTGTGCGCCATCCAACAGCCACCTCCATCCAGCAACTCTTTTAACGCCACATCAATACCCTCAAACTAAGGGCGAGGAATGCTCAAGGCACTCTAAGGCGAAATCCACTACACACAATCAGAGGGATTCGGATGGTTGAGGAGGTAGGAGACAAGAGTTGGTGGGCACCAGTGGAAAGTCGTGAAAACTGGATTATTTGCTGATGTCTTCGTGGGGTTGAATGATGGGTGACGAGATGAGTGATGGTTCCCCGTAGTAAATCATTCTATGAAATACCACGAGTGGCCAGAATCACTCAAACAGAGGTATCTTTTCATCCAGTCATTACTGGGCTTTCTCGAACCAGCCCACGGTGGATAGAGCATCAGATGCTGAAGATTCGAGTGCGCTTCAATTTCAGTTTTCTCCTAGGTCATCGTACGTGTGGCTATGGTCAATGCGGCGTTCGTGGGAGGCTTTAAGTGGAGGTTGAATAATCACCTAGTGAGATAATAACTGCATCCGAATGGTCTATCCCCTAATACTCACATACCGCATTGATAGTGGGTGCACTTCTCAACTCTGGTGGCCACCCCACCTGCTTACTCACTTATCCTCTTGTTATTTCACAGTCGTTTCTCTGCGTTTATTCTGAATTAATAAGTTCCATTAGCTATCCGTTTGTGCATTTTCTGTTGAAAGTCTACATAGCCTACACTGATTATATCTACTGTTGCTCCTATTATTTTTATATCAATTTCTGATCACCCCGGACGACCACAGGGGGAAACGATCAACGCGCTTCCTGGCAGTAACATGGTCTCAACACATCGCATAATGCAAACTACACATAACCAATGCCCTCACCATTCACTTTGGAGTCAACCAAAGCTACGACAGTCGAGTGATGGGACAGACTAAGCACAAGTCTACCAAAGATCAAGATATTTTGCTACCTAGCGAAGAAGTGGGGAGAATGAAATCAAATTGGATTACACTGGCTCTTCAAAGCGATATTGGATATTGGTAGCTTGTTTAGTCAGATCATCGGGCGCCGAATCACGTCGAACTGGTGTAGTGCGGTGACTATTGTTACTGTTGGTTTTGGTGTTACCATTGCCACTACTACTGCTACTTCTACTGCTTGTGCTGCTCATACGTACTTGGCAGGATGTCGGGCAGGTTAGCTTGTGTGTCTTTCATTTGATTGTTGCGAGAATGTCTGTGTGAGTATGGGATTTGACGGTGTGCGTGGTTCTGCATGTTGTCGAGTAATTGTCAACCCTGCCTACCCTTAATGGCTATTTGATGGGTTAAAGGACCTTGTTTACAGTGAATGTCGTCTTGAAAATGAATGCATATTCTCATTGATGCAAGAGGTGTGTGTTGCCTGATGTAGAGATGACGCCTGAGTGCCATACTGCGACTGTCGTCAGGAGATAACATGTCTGGTGTAATAGTGAGGATTACTGTTGTTGTTGTTGTGTGTGTCTGTGTGTGAAAGGAAGAGGGTAGATATACTGGCGTTAACAGCAGGGAGTTATTTCCCAGTAATGTGAGGCTGTTAGAGAAGATAGTTGGTGAAGTAAGCTTACTTCGCGGTAGATTTGCGTGTTAAGGTTGTTGCTGAGTGTAAATTATGTTGTATGCCTGATTGTTTATGACAGTCGTTGAAGCACTAGGTTATTCTGTTGTGTTTTGTAGAGGCTATTACGGACCACCTCGTGGACGTGGAGGATATGATGGTCGTGGAGGTCCTCGCGGACCAGATGGACGTCATGGGTGTGGGTGAGTCTGGATTTCTTATTATGACTTTCCACGATTGTGAGATTCCATGATATTGTGGTGCATATTTTAGTTTCTGAATAGACGATTTGGTGAAAAGCTGAGGTGCAGGATATCATTTTTGGCTAAGACATCACCCATATGACTTTGCACTGTGTTTCTAGAAGCATTAGAGGTAAGAAAAGCTACCTAGTGAGTCATGACTATTGATGTCATCTGAGTTTCGGTGAAACAAGTTTGATGCAGTAGAGTGAAGCTTGACAAATGGGTGGAGTAGTTTGTTTCTACAGCGGAAAGTTGATGCATTAGATAAGAATAGGTGAAACTGAGGGCTAGCTAGTTGTTGTCACTTCGACACCTGACTTCATATTAATTTGTCTCACATTGAGTGATGTTTAACTGATGAGTTTTGATTTTCAATTTCAGCTTCGATGAACGAGAGGTGTACGGGTGAGTTGGCGTAACGAGTTTTTGTCTGTTGTGCTGTGATACATGTTGTGTAGTCTGTCCTTATCGTGCATGTTACTTTGCGAAACATTTGTTCTCGTGTTGTTTTAGTCCGCCCCCGAGTTGTCAAGGTGGAAGAGGTCGTGGTGGACCACGAGGTCAAAGAGGATATGGGTAAGTTGGCAGGTTTTTCCCTCACGTATTTTTTGGTCTGTTTTTGGAGTACGTTGGATGCGTATGATTCATTAGGAAGAAAGTGGCCGATTGAGAGGGTACTGACTCGCTTGTGCTTGTGTAATGGTGGATATGTGCTGTGTTGTGTGCACCTGTCACTAGACGTGAGTGATTGCAATCCAGTGTGTTGTAGAAACCAATGTGGATTCTCCGGAAGTGGTTTTCTCTACATAGAGATTAGAAGCTTTTCGGATCTAGTGTAGTGAAGTTTGTACCTAGTTAATAGCCTGATGTGGATGATTCGGTTTCCTGTTTGGTGAGAGATGTGTTACTTTATTGTGATTGTATGTTCATGGGGTTACTCGGATTTCCCGAACGTGAAGCGCACGAATAATCGAAGGCTGCTTTAATGGGAAGCAATCGTGCCATTTAGTGAATCAGATTAGTGTGTATGTTGTATGGTATTGTGGTTGGACACCGTTCAGAAGAGCTTTAGTTGCGGCCTTTCTCGAGGAGGTGGTTTTCGACAGTCTGAAGAAGCAGTTTTATATGATTTTGTCGCCGTTTTCATTGTGTTGGAAGTTAAAAGTGTTGTTTCTCTTGCAGATCTTCACAACCTACTGAGTATCCACCATTTCAACGCAACCCGTCAACAGATCGGTAAGTGTATATATGTCTTTGTCTAACTGTTGTTTGTGTTGAACCGTGTACACACGAGTGAGTGAGTGGCAGTCATCATTGGATTGAATTTTGACATTTGAATACGAATTAGCGTAGACGTGACTGACTATGAGTTGATCTTGTGATGTGAAGGTTTCACCTCTGACCGAATCTGTTAAGCAGGAATACATGAGAGTGTGATATTAGCGTTGACAGTGTTTCTATTGTGAAAGCTACTAGAAATAGCCCTGTATATGTGTATTGTGTTTCATGCTTCAGGTCACGTGTTGGTGATGTTCCAGAGGTGTGGAAGAAGCCTGCATGGAGCGCGCATGTACCTTGTGAACGTGGTGACATAGCATCGTCATTACGACTGGAAAACGAGGCTACCTTGGAAGCTGCTCGCCAAAAGAAAAGCCAATGTATGAAGAAAGCTGTGTGAGTAGTATCCGTTTTGTCTTTCCAGATTCCACAAGATGTGTTTTGTGTTGCTGCTGCCTAACTGTCTAATTTTGTTTTGATTGTTTCAGGTGTGACGTGTCTCGTGAGCTTTCAAAGTAAGTTGAAATGGAATAAAGTGTAAGAGTAGTGATTGGCCTCATTGCTTCCTTTGATTGATAACGTTGGCGAATGAATTTCTTTACTTCAGACTAAGCATGCAGAGGCCACTGGGGATTCCAAACAGACCAGATGAAGGTGGCACAGTCGGGAGAACAGTGAGAGTTACTTCAAATTGTTGGGACCTTGCTTTCCATCAGAAGACGGTATACTTGTACTTTGTTGAGGCGATCTCAGCATACCGCCTGGACTCAAAGGAGGGCAGTAAGACGGAGATAAGAATGCCACCGAGAGAGTTGCGATCTCTGACACAACAAGTAGCTAGTTCGTAAGTGCAGTTATGCTTTCATCTTGAAATACGTTGTTTACATATGTGTTAAAACTTTGTGTTGTATTTGTGTTATTGAGGTCAGTTGTTTGCTTGACTTGTAGTGTAGTGTGTGATTGCTATCATTATAATGTGCTTGTCAAGGACAGATTGGTACAGGTTTGGGATGAGTTGTTGTTTCATGTCCTACGTGATTGACTGAATAAAGACTTTCGCAAATATCAGATGCGTCTATGAAAAGATGGTAGAGTCGTTCGGTATGGCTTGAGTTGACACTAATCGTGTCTGTTGATGAGTCTGATGCTAATGAAATTTGCTTGTATGGTTTGCTTTTACAGCTTTCCAGATACGGTGGTATATGATGGAGGGCACGCAATATACTCTGAAGACCCGTTAACGGGTGTTACAACGGACCCTGTGGAGAAGGAGATGGAGATCGAAGACCCGCTTGGTCGTGATCGCCTTCTCCTAAAGTATCGTATTATGGAAGTACAGCGAGTGTCTACTTCTGATGTTGATCATTTTATAAAGAATCCGAAGGCGACTTCGATGAATATGCCCCAGGTGAGACGAGATTAGATTTGTTGTTTGACACTTGGTTGTAGGAGTCCATCAGGCTACTGGATTGTATTCTGAAAACAGTCTCTAGACAGTCGTTCGTTTCTGTTGGACGTTCAGCCCTGTTCGAGGCGAAACCGATTAGAGTTGTCGCGGATAAACTCTTCAGCATCCATAAAGGTTTTATTAGTAGTGTGCGACCTCAGTGGAAGGTGCGTGTAAACTTGGATATGGTAAGTGATGATATTGCTTGTTTTGACACAATGACAGACCTGCAAGGCGTACTTTACGTCTGGGAATTTGGCGGACGTGATGTACGCAAAGTATGGCGATGGGATGTCTCGGTGCAGTGAAGAAATGGCCCGTGACTTGAGAAGAATCAGAGTGGAGAGTGAGAAGTTTTACAGGAGCGACAGTGGTATGCGTGTATATGTATATTTTACTCTGTTATACCTATACCTGACGCCTTCCAGGTAGGATGTATTCGCGACGGTTCACTGTGCACGGGATTTCGTCACTACCAGCTGATCGTCTAATGATTGAGGAGGTGAATGAGACGGTGGCAGAATATTTCAAGAGGCATCATCATATCACACTGAAGTATCCAGAGCTGCCTTGTGTGAAGGTAGGTGATTTGTGATTTCATTGATGATGATATTTTATTTTGTTAGGTTGATCAAAAGCGGGAGGTGTATATGCCTATGGAGTTGTTGAACATACTACCGTATCAAGCTCCTAATGCGAGTAAAGCGGATGTTGCTAGCGAAGTGATCCGGTGTTCGGCAGTTCGACCACAGGAACGTTTCCAAGAGCTGCAAAACTTTGCTAACAATATGCTGAAGTAAGATGATGTTATTTCCGCGTTGATGATGATGCACTACGACTGAGTACTGACGTGATGATGTTACTTACTCATCATGCAAGAGGCGGAGAGAAGTTGGGGAGAAGGATGAGGAGCATGTTGAATGAATGCTCGTTAGGTGATTTCCACTGTCAGCAGCTAACTTAGTTAGCTTTCTCAACACTGGAAACTGATTTCCATCTGCGCACAGAATAGAAGCATGATATTAGACGAGTTGTTTGGTTCGAGGTGTCTGATATCCGTTGTGCTAGCCGAAATTGTAAACGTGGAGAAACATGAGTTGAGTAGAATAGCCCTCCTTGAAATAAGACTTAGCCAGGGAGTTTTGTAGGTGCAGAAGCAGGCAGCCGAGGCTTTGTGATTACTCGTCACAGAACATGTAATTCGCCACATGGAGACATGAGAATTAGAGTCGTGTTTGTTAACCGTGTGATGCTAGTGAAGAGGTGTTGATTGTGGACTAAGTATGCCTAGATGGAGATAATAGTGTATGTAGGTGATGTTATTTGAGAGCCCGGTATTATATTTCACTTTTATGTCTTTATTGTTTGTGATAATGAGGGTTTCTGTTGACTGGCATGACAACACTTGTTTCATTTGTATCCAGGTCACACCCACTGATCCAACAATTTGGTTTGGCGATCGAGCCGAGGCCAGTGGAAGTGAAGGCACGTGTTCTGCAGCCGCCAAGTGCTAAATTTGGTCGTTCCGGTGTGCAACCGCTGAAGGCAGGTAGCTGGATGTCACCTGACTTTCATGAGCCAGCTGGCAAGGGAGTGGAGCTGATGTGGGCCATACTTTGTGTTCCACCTAATCAGGTATGTTGTTCACTCGAGTTGTGTACAAAAGACGGTGGCGATGCCGACGACGACGATGAGTGATTAGTGTAGTGTAGTGTAGTGTAAGGAGGAAGATGTGTGCTGCCATCACTTGAGCATTGAATTCACATTCTAGATGTAGTGATTTGTGAATCGTAGTTAGCTTGACAATATGGAGGCGTGTTGTTTGATGACAGGCATGCCACTTCGCTGTTCATAGCACCGGGCGTCTGCGTGATATCATGCGTGTTGATGTGTCAGTGTTTAATGGTGTGTATAGAATGCTGGATTTCCACTTTCCTGTTAGTCAAATAGGTGAAGTATTTTCGAAAAACTGACTGTCCACTTGATTGTGATGCGTGTTGTTGAGAGGCAGATGTTGTTATTATTATTAATATTATTATTGTTATTGTTATCAGCCAAGTGAAACGCTTGTACTAAGTGCCTATTTCGCCTACCATGTTTTCTTTGTAGCGGTCTCAGAGTCACATACAAAAGGTGATGTCAGAAATGCCTAGAGCAGGAAGTCGCTTTGGGGTTCGTCTAAGCCCTCGACCTATTGTGGCACAGTGTCCTACAGGAGAACTTGGCAGAAGGTTTGAAGATTTCAGTAGACAAGGCTGTTCGTTTGTGCTTCTAATCTTGTACGACGAGCGCAACTACTCGGCAGTTAAACGCCTGAGTGACCTGCAAATGGGTATCCGTACACAGTGTGTACTTGGTCGTACTCTGGAGAAGGCGAACGTTTGCCGTAAGTGCTTGCTACTACTGTTTACGTGTGACGTTTGTTTTCTGTTTCTGTATTTCGACAAGCTTAACTTTAACTAATGGGATTAATTTGTGCTTTGTTCAGCGAACCTGTTACTGAAGCTGAATGGGAAATTGGGTGGTGTGAACTGGCAGATCCCCGACCTGATTAAGAACAGTGGTGAGTTGCTGATGGTGTTTGGGGCGGACGTGACCCATCCGGCGCCGACACAAACTCATGGTGAAATTCGGAAGTCGGTGGCTGCTGTTATTGGTAGTGTATCACCGGATCTAATGAGGTACGCTGTGGTGATCCGCCAACAGGCGACGACAGAAAAGGGGAATAAGGGAGCGAGAGAAATAATCGACGACATGCGTGTTATTGTGAAGGAGTTGCTTGAGGTTAGTTTTCATTGTGGGCCAACTGTGAAGTGATTGATGTTGCTGGTTGGTGTTGTTGTTGTTGTTGGAGCACGCTTCTGTTGTTGCTTGTTCATGTTGTTGTTTTGCAGGTATACTTGCGAAATACGAACGGTCGTTTCCCAACGCGTATACTATTCTATCGTGATGGCGTCTCGGAAGGCCAGTTCGAGAATGTGTTGTTAGAGGAGTTGGCGGCGATTCAGAGAGCTTGTGCAGACATTCGTCCTGGTGAAGAACCCGCGATCACGTATATTGTTGTGCAGAAGCGTCACCACATTCGGTTTCGACCGAGCGAGCCTAGGTAAGTGGGAGGTGTTTACACACATGATGTTTTGTGTGGAGCCACTGTATCTTTGTTGTTGTTGTCCTTGCTCACGTGTGTGGGGGCGTTCGTGTTAAGAATAACGATTTGTTGTTTCGACTGTTTTTGTAGGGCGAGAAACGTGGAGCCAGGGACGGTGGTTGATACAGACATCACACATCCAAGGGAATTCGATTTCTACTTGTGCTCACAAGAAGGGATTCAGGTAAATTGTTGTTGTTAGCCGATGAATATGATTGCGTATTTTGTAGGGCACTTCGAAACCTGCTCACTATCACGTTTTGTATGATGACAGTGACTGGACGTCGGACGGTTTGCAGTTGTTCACCTACCACCTATGCTATGCGTATATGAGGTGTTCGCGTAGTGTCTCGTATCCAGCGCCAACTTATTATTCTCACTTGGCTGCATTTCGTGCCCGTGAATGGTTATCGGACGTGGAGAAGCCAGAGATTCTGTTGGACGGTGGTCGTTTTAAAGTTCACAGCAGCCAAGTTGACGGGATGTTTTACTTGTGAGGAGATATTTTATTTTTATATATAAATTGCACTTTATTTTAATCCATGTTGTTTGGCTTTTCGATTTAATTGAGCGTAGTTTGTTGAAGAGATAGTTAATTGTTACGGTGCGATCACGGTCACGGAGTAGCATATAGGTGACGGTAGTGGTGTGATGATACTGGTGAAGACGCGTGCACACCTGACAATTCGATTATTGATTCTAGGATATTGTCTGTATGGGACGTGTGACCATGTGACTGTTCGGATTGTAGTTTTGACTTCTACGTGCGTGATTTGTCTGCTAGTGATGTGATGATGTGGTGTGAGCACGTGGGATTCGAGCGGGTATGTGTGTGTGTGTGTGTTGACGACAGATGTGTGATGGAAAGTTGTATTGGATTTAAGAGATTTCTGTTGAGCTTGCAAATGTCTAGACGTGAGACGGTAGGAATGTGGTTGTAGATAGTTTGAGCGGCGAGTGTAGTCAGCTTGTAAGTACGTTTCGAATTCTTTCTATGGATGAAATTGTGTTTTCGCCAAGTGATGATAGGAGGGTCAGTTGACCAGAGTTAGTCTGGAGAATCCACTTGACACTGTGTTTGTGTGGGTGTGTGAGTAATTAATAGATGTGACTGTGATGTCTCACGGTTCAGTGACACCACTTGAATGAACAACTAGTTATCAGAGAAATAACTCAAATGTATGGAGAATTGCAAGTCGAATGACATGGCTGGTGGTGATAGTAATAATAATAATAATCATAATAATAGTATTAACGGGAATGAAAGTAATAGCTATAATAGCAATAGTAATATCGATGAATCACACTAATGCGTACGGATGCTAATGACAACAAGGGTGTATGTAACCGTCCTGACAAGGGATGGTTTCGGATGAATGAAGAATAATGATGATGGTGTGATGACGATGATAACAAGAGGAAGAAGAAGAAGAAGTAGGAGGGGAGATAGAATGTGAATATTTGTGTCACTAATAATATGAACGGTGAGTATGTAAGACATGCCACCATGTTGGATTCAGAGTGACGACCGTTTCGTTGCGTACATGAAGACTAGTGATATAGACGCTAATTCACCTAATACTGGACCATAGTAGCCAGCGTCTACGGTTACTAGTACTGTTACCTGGAAGAAATGTTGTCGGAAGATGTTTAGGGACAAGCGGTTTGAATAGGTATTGGAGATTTGTGCAAGGAAGACGCATAATGGGAGAGTTGACGAGGTGATTGTGGTCAATTTACGAAATTCTGTTTAGGTAAGTAAGTGAGTTTGCAAGCGAGTGTTCATACCGCACCAACTGTCACGTCGATATATGCAGATGAATAATGACTGGAGTGAGATTGATTTGTTAAGTTGGGAAGCATGGACGGCAAAAAAGGGTGTGAACAATTGTGTAGATGATAAGTGTATTTTTGAGAGGAAGAGAACACCTGGTTTAGTTATTGTAGGGCTAATCTGCTCGTGAGGTCTACAAATTGAGCCCATACTTGTTGTCCGAGGAGGAAAGACTCCATTGAAGAGAGCGAAGTAAACAGCGTCTGCGTGTTTATTATTTCGTAGCATGTGCTACGGACCATCATCACCTACTTTATTTTTAGGCCTAGCGGTTTGTAAAGTGATTGAATTTGTTTCTATGCAAGACTGCTTACTGTGCGAGGACAGGTGATGGATGTTGTTCTGAATCAATGATCGGAAGTTGGTTCGTGTTATCTATGAGATGTGTAGGTGCTGTTGCGTTCTATCTGTGGTTGAGTGGTGCAAAGAAGGTAGGTAGGTACTGCTGATTCGCTACGCTAAGTGATGTAGTTGGTTGTATGATGAAATTTGTATTGCAGCGGATTAATATGGTGGGTGAGGAAGGAGTGGGGGAAAATGGAGTGCGACTAAGAATGCAAATGGGGGCTAAACTAGTGTGTTGAAGATGTAGTGGTTTTCGGAGAACAGATCAATGATTCAGTAGATAAAATGTAAGGTCAACTATCTTCCTGGTGTCAGCGAGGGAGCCTACGTCATCTTAGCACACAGGGCCACTAATGAGCAGTTCTCATCAAGCTAGCTAGCTTGTATTGTAAGCTTCGTGACAGCATTTCTGAAAAGTCTGAATGGAAATAATTATCAGAGTTGGCGAATATCCGGTGGTGAGCTTCTCACCAACAGCTTCCCCAACTTACCATGGTCTGACTATTACCAGTTTTCAACTGACATCCTGTGAAACGAAGATAGACATTTTCAGGTCAGCTAGTGTGTAAACAGTGATACTGAATTGTCTTGACGAATAAACGAAGAGTTAGAAGTGTATTCCACCTGAGGAAGAGGAGGGAAAAGGTGAAGTTCAGTTTAACAAATCGGTCGAATGAGTAGTTTATCCGAATACACACACCTAGACGGTGTGTATACGGCTTTGAGTAGTAGTCAGTGAGTGGTGATTTAATCTCAAGCTTTTGTTTTCTGTTGTTTGTTAGTAAGGGAGGTATGCTATGTGATGAAGTAGAAAGACATCGAGTTGTGAATGGATCGCTGGGACTTGTGTTACTCAATGTCACAAGTCAGAATGATAATAAAGGTAGCTTTATACCAAAGATTACTTCCGATACAAATAAGGAGTTTTCAGTGTGTGGACAATATTACATTTAATTCTATGCAATCCAGGTGTAATAATCAGACAGGGCATTCATATTGATAATATTGTCCAATAAGGATAGGAATATACAGACAGTCTGGCATCATAACATCGTCTTTGGTTTAGACAATGGGGCTAAATCTGTTCTCTGCGCCTTCCTAGATTACACATCTGCTCTTCGCTCAGTACCTCAGTAGGGATATTTTGTTAAATGAGCTTTCTGGAACTCAAACTGAGTGTTGGGCTGTTAGCTGACTTCATTCTTATTTCTCAGGAAGAAAGCAGTAACACTGTATATCAGGAGAAGTCGTCCACCCCATTGCTTACTGAGACTGGTTGTCACTCAAGACGCTGGTCTTTCTCCTTTTCTCTTCTTCTTGCATGACTTGCCTCACTCTGATGATGAAATAATGAACTTCGTTAAGTATGCAGACGATCTAACTTTTTCAATGTCTGTTAACTTCCAGTTAGACTGTACTAAGATGAACAGCCTTCTATTAGGAGTTAACATATGATCTTTGTCCAATGGTCTTAAGCGAAAACCTTTCAAATGTCAGACTGGTAATTTCAGTTTCCGATGTAAAAGCAAGTTAAATGATGAAGCTGTTAATTCCTATGACCGTTGTAGAATTAATGATAGCGATATAGAAATGAAGTCTGACTCTAAGTATCTTGAACTAATTCTCTCTTCTGATCTATCCTGGTCTTTCCATGTCTTAGCGATTTCTAAAAATATATTCCATCTGACTTTTTACATTAAGAATTTATGACACTCAGGTAGAACTCAAGCCCTCCTCCTCTTACAGTTTGTCAACTCTTGCATCTTACCTATTCTTCTTTATAGTGACGAATATGGTCGATGTGATGAAATGTTTATGCAGTCTGTGACAAATGTTGTCAATGCACTAACGTCCATTTAACGTGTAACCACAGATTGAGCTCTCGGATAGAAAATGCAGTCGCTACTTTCAGAGATCTGATTTGCAGTGGTCTTCTCAAATTCTCTTTTCACCAACTCAAACGAAAATGATTTGCTCTGTTATTACAGAGATGTAGAGGAACAACTGTGCGTGTGTGAGTAATTAGTAGGTGCGACGGTGAAGCTGGCTTCAGAAATAGAAGGCTTCCTCACTCTGTGTTTGACTTTCGTCAATCAAGCCTCTCGCTTTTCTGCCATGCATTTCCGGAGAACTCCCTTACAACTTCACGTGTATGTGTTCACCTCAACAAGAGCGCATTAAAGAGTAGATACATACAGAGATGGACACAATCGGTAGTTCACCCATCA